CCATCTATTTTTCCCAGCTCAGTCACGTACACTTCCCTCTCCTTCTTGTACAACGGACATTCCGCGACTACATGAACACGGTCTTCGCATTCGAAGCCGCAATCACATTTGAACTCGTCGTCTTCCTCGTCTACCGTCCTATGTCTTCGTCGACGTTCTCGAAGGCCTATATCTAAGAGGGGGGGGACATTATCGGGCCATCCCTGCTTTTTGGCGTTTGGAGAGTTTTTCCTGCAGGAGACAGCACACCCCATTGAAACCCAGGTGTACTAGCAACGACTTTCCCCCAAATCTCAGGGGGTGGTCGAATAGAGCATTATGAACACACAAAAAAAAAATCAGACCTTACCCGGGGGTGGTTCATCACCATCCCCCCCCACTGAAATTTCATGACGGTCAGTTGCGGATGGCGCCTATACCACACCCCTCCCTCCCCCCCGGAGTCACATTGATTGGCGCCCTCCACACCTCAATCAATATATTGTAACACTGCTGTGTAGTAAACGGGCCAATGGTAGCAACGCACGAGCCTACTGCAGGTAAGTTGATCAACAAGAAACTATTTTACCTCCCGATCTAGTATAAACTAATGATGCTGTTCGAAAGCAGTCGCTATCGAAGAAAGGATTAAACAAACGAAACTGCAGCATGCAAAAAGGGAGACAAAGGTGGTTGGTGGAGGGCCTCAGCAACCAGCAACCACCGCAACCACCGCAACCACCGCAACCCCGCTGAAATGCGGCGTCCTTGCTGCAGACCGCGCTGCGCCCAAAACGCTCATACGACTCTCTCTCTCTCGCTCTCTCTCTCTCTCTCTCTCTCTCTCTCTCTCTCTCTCTCTTCTCGCTCGCTCCTTGGTTGTCTGCTCGGGTACATAATGGTACGTTGTGGAGATCGATACTACAGCGGGACACCAAGGCTTGCACTGACGGATTACAGCTGCTTTGTGCCCTCCCCACTTTTAGGCGCCTGTCGCAGCTAAACAGCTGAGCAGGCGGGGCGAAATCACCACATGAAAGCATCATCGCAGCAGCGATACGTGTCGTCACATAAATCACCTCACCTCAATTACCCCGGCGTCAACTAGAGTATCGAGCAACTCGTCCAAATCTATTTGCTCCGCCTCCGCCACGCCGCCCTCTTGTCCGGGGACCAACTGCAGCGGAGCCACAGCAAGGAAGAAGCACGCCAACACCAGCACACGTTGAGCCATCATCTTCACCCCAGTACACGAACCACGGTGTATGACAAGTGCTCTCTGTCCAAGTGATATCAAGATCGGGGGCCGGCGACAGGGATTCCATAGACTTTTTAACCCCTACCCCGTTCTGCGGCATCCCGCTGTGGCGGAGCGCTCCCGCATCGCACAAGAGGATCCAATGCCCCGGTCGTGCCGAACATGTCCCCGCGCGGCACCAACGACTGATTCCCCGACCTTCCACCCCGGCGCTTCCTCGTTATGCTTTGTCATATTACTGCTGTGGGTCGGGGGTGCGTGCGCCTTTTCAGCAGCGGCGGCGGCCGGGCCTGCTGGTCCCACCACCGAGTTTTTCCAATATACACTCGTCGAGAGCACCGACCAGCTGGAACAACAGCAACAACGACAACCACACCACCACGGCAATGAATGGTTCGAACCCGTACCCCCTCCCCACCTGTTCCGCATCCCCGCGCCGGGAGGAGACGTCTGCCTGGTCGTCGACGAAAACAAATCCTACTATGCGATGAGAGACTGCTTTCCTCCTTTCGGCGTACCCGTGTCGCAAACAGGGGTGGTGGATTCGCAGGTACACGTCGGAACATGCATAGTGGATTCGCAGGTACACGCATAGGAACGGAGGTGGATGCGTGCTCCGACCCTCGCCATTGGTGCTCAATATTCTACCCTGGAATAGTCGATGTGCTCACTGGTTTCGGCGACAATGGCCCACAGCACGGCGACAAAGACTGTCTAGTACATCCGGAGAAAGTGCTCAGTCAGAGCCGGGAGGAAATGGGAAGCAGCCGCACTCTCATCCTCGCTTCCGTCATGTTTTACCGGGGCCGGTGCCGGGCGATCCACGCGTCTGCTACGTACTTGTACGCAGCAGAACCTTGACCGATGCTTGATAGTGATGAACAGCAGTAAGTAGCTGCTCCGGCTCTAGGTTGGCGGCCGTTCGCACAGGACTCCCCCATGTAAAAACCATCGACAAAGCAGGGCGCCTGCAGTGGTCTGTCTATACGTTGGGGATATATATATGCACATGTTGTGTTACCCGTGTGTGTGTACAGCAGTACTACGGTCGTGTTTACCTGCCCGTCCGAGCTTCCTGTCGGTCACGGAGCAGTTCTTGTATAGATGAACGCTTGATAGTAAAAACTCATTCGCTTATTTAGAGAGAAGCAGCTGCGGCGGCAATAGCATCAAAGCACAGCACCAGTAGCAGCAGAAGAACTCTCCCCTCCCTAAATGTGCCACGCTTCACGTGCAAACATTGTTCAACAGGTGGACGCCATCGGCGACAGCTTGTTCGGGACGCGGTTCAACCTCGAAGACGGTACCGTCCGAGGGCCGTGGTGCCCCGGAGGTGGTACGGCGGGGCCTCTCCTCCTCTGGCTCGCGCGCCACCGGCGACATCGTCTCTTCACTCTCCGCATCGGCGTAGCCCGGAGCATAAACCACCTGACACACCATCTGTTTTTGTTCTCGAAACAAAGGAGAGCAAGAGGTAGTTGGGCGACGTCCTTTCGACCGCCATCATCGCCAAATTTCATCGAAAAGACGACGACGACGACGCTGGAAGTGCTTACGGTCACGGAGCAACTCGACGGGAGCTTGACGGTGGCATTGCCTCGCTGTTCGTCGGCCCTCGCCCCCGGGGGAAACGGAAATTCGGCTGCCAACGGGAGACCATCTCCCATGCACAACGCGTCTACGTTCGCTGCCAAATGCGACCTGGAGGGTTATGACTTTTGATTAGTGTACACACGACGGACACATGAAAGAAACGTTCAGCGGGACGAAAGTTTATAAGGACGGTTCAGGACCGTAAAGTAGGAGAGTACGAGCGGCGGCGACGTGGAAGTAGCAAAGGTTAGGTTCTCGCTGAGCGACAGCAAGTGTTGCACAGGATGTGGGGGCATTGACCCAGGAAGGAGCTCGTGGACAGAGCAACAGAAGGCGATCAAAGGACCAATGGCGCAACCGACTGCTCACAACATGCTTCTCTTCTTTCGTTGAGAGGATACAAAGGTGTCACCTCTCTTCCTCGCTTCACTGAATCGGAGCAGCACAGGAAAACATTGCACATGTCCGCTAATAGTTAAGGGAACGACATTATCGTCGCTGCTGCGGTATCAGAGGGCCCGCTTTTTTCGCGCATGTGTGTGTGTGTGTGTGTGTGTGTGTTTTCGTCCTATTTATTATGGCGACAGTCCCCCCATTTTTCGTGGTGAGACGTGTACAACACTTTTGAGCTTATTATGTAGAGTACTACACTTTCAGCGTATTTTTTCGTACAACTACATTCATCCAGGGTCACACAGGAGGGGGCAAACACCAGGGCTTTTTCTTCTTTTTATTTCTTTTCATGCCCCACCTTCCTCCTGCGGTGCGTGCTGAATTTTTTTTTAATCGCGAGAAGGGTCCAGCCGTCCCTTTCCCTCGTCAACGGTGCTAACGTAGAAGTTTGGTACTCTCGAGGGCTTTTTAGGTATATTTCGCTTTCACCCGCAAATATCGTAAATTTTTCACCCCACGGGGATTCGAACTCACGACCTTTACGACTAAGGAGGGTTCTTAACGAGATTTGTTCTGTTGGAATATGCCGACATGCGCCCTACTTTTTCGGAAAATGCCGATTTCTTGTCGGAAAATGCTGAAAATGAAGCGTCGGAATTTTTCGGGCGCCGCTTCATTTTCGGCATTTTCCGAAGAGAAACTCCGAAATGACTCCGAAATGGGAGCACTCGAGTTGCACTGCAGTCGCCAGCACGCTGAGCACCCTCTCGCACTCCAGATCTCGGGGACAGTCCCCAGGTGGCTTGCTTGTGTCGCCTGTAAGCTTGTAGACCATGGATGGTCACGGAAAGCGCTGTGGATCTGCAGATTTCGCGGAGCAAAGGCGGCGAAAGCGTCGCAGCCTGGAGATGAACCCGCTTTCCGTGATGCGGGCGATGGCTGCTGCGGTGGTTGTCGTGGTAGCAAACCCGGCGACCCCGGCAGCTTGCGACAGCATCGTAAGGGGGCATCGCGAACCCTCCGCTTCTACGGCAGCGGCGGGGGCGGCCACGCGCAGCCGGCGAGAGGCGTGGCTCGGGAGAGGGTCGCGGCCGCGGCCGTTGTCATCATCAACGGCGGCAGCAGACTGCTGCAACCCATGACCCAACCCATGACCACAGGCAGCACCACTTTCGCCTGTGTTGTCGTATCTCGCGGGTCGGCGATGGCCCCTCGGCGGCCTGCCGCCGGTAGGTCCGCTGTTCTCGTCGCTCTGCATGTTTGTACGCTGGCGCTGCCGCCTGCCTGAAGGCTGTGGTGTGTAAATGCTGTACGTTTTCAAACCGAAAAGTCTGAGAAATTCAAAAAATGGACCGCCTGACGTTAAGAAACGTCAGGCGGTCCGTTCGGATTTCTCCGAAAGCCAGTCGGCATATTCCAACAAACCGAAGAATCGTCAAGAACCCTCCTAATAGCGGATTACGAAGATACTACTAGACCATCGGGGCGACCATGTGGTCATCTCGGAACAATTTTTCTAGACCTCTGCTGCTGCAAAGAGGCAACGCCCCGTGCTCGCTTCCACCTCTGCCTATCGGTAAGCTGCGCAACTTGAGGAAAAGCACGTGCTTCCACCCATGATGACGGGAGTGGCGAAACCAGTACCTCGTCACGAACCGCCGGTAAAAAACAGTAACAGACAAGGTTCACAACCCTTTAAAAACGTACCTTCCTCGGAAAAACATTCCTCAAACGCAGTAGGGGATGGAGGGGAAATTTCTCGGTCGATTATTCGATCGATTTATTGACGGCCGGCAACGAGGGCGAAACCCCTGTCCCCTCTTTTGCTCCGTCCCGGCTTTGTAGGGATGGGAGGTCAGTCTAACGACCACGGCATGTACGACTATGAGTCCCCCCCCCCGCCCCCCCCCGCTTTGCCTTCTCATCTCCACAGTCAACCGATTGTTCTACAGCAGAAAAGGCATACAAAAAAAGAAACGAACGAAGGACGCGCATGCGCTACCAAGGCCAGAAGAGCTTAAAACCTCATGACAACCAAGACCATGCACACATTCAAAACGCAAGACAAGGTGTGACATCTAGAAATAGAAGACTGTTACTACGGGCGTCTGCCATGTGCTACAAGTATTACTACGGTCTAGATGTATCGTCCTGCCATGTGCAATTAGTTCTTCTTTGCGTGCTCCCAGAGCCACTCCGGGGTGACCGACTTGGGCCGCTCGAGGGGCAGCCCCAGGGCGCGGTCCCAGAAGAGCTGGGAGAGGGCGCCGATCCCGCGAGAGACTCCGAAAAGCACGGTGTAGTAGTCGTGCTCTGTAAAGTCGTAGTGGCACAGGAGCACCCCCGAGTGGGCATCCACGTTGGGCCAGGGGTTCTTGACCTTGCCTAGCTTGGTCAGCACTCCCGGCACCACCTGCGTGGGGTGTGCGTGTGCGTGTTTTTTTATGTGTTGCGTGAAAAGCACCGGTCGCTTTGGGTGTAGAATTTGAGGCAGCTCAACAGGTACACGGTGGATGAAGGCCATTGGTGGAGCTGAACAAGGACATGTTGTTGCTATTTTCTCCCTCATTGTTCGCACCCACGAATGGACGTGCTTCTCTCGTGGACGACCGGGTGCATTTGTATCTCTCAAGACCAACACCACACAAACCGGAAGAGGCATGACACGACTAGCATGCCTGGGCGTGCTGTGAATCGCATGGAGGCATGGTTGCACAAGCACATACCTCGTAGATGGTGGAGACGATCTTGAACAAGTCGTCGTCGGGCAGGTGCTTGAGCGCGAACTGGCGTTGCGCCATGTACCTCGGGTCAGTCTTCCGCAGCACCGCGTGGCCGTACCCGGGGATCACCTTCCAGGTTGGTTTAGCCAAGATATCGAAACGGAGATGGAAGACAGCAGGGGGGGGGGGGGGG